CAGTTTTCTTTGCATTAGGTTTTGTATAGTGTGGATATATTAGGGGTTTTTTTTTTTTGGTTTTTTGGTGTGTGTTTTTTGCCTCCCATCAATTAGTAGATCAAGGAAATAAAGTTTAATGAGACTAAGATTAGTGTCTTGGCTTTATGGAAGTTTTCCTTTTAATTTTTTTTTTTAATTTCATGTAGTAAAGCCCTTCAGGGTAGGATCAATTTTTTCAATTAGCTTTAGAGAGCACACACAACATTCAAGAATATTTAATAAATCCTGTGTTTTACTGACTCAATCTGTGCCTAAACTCTCCTATTCCCTTGAACTATTTGCCTGTCTTTCCCCCTGCTTTCGCTCTGCAAAGGCAAACAACCTAGTTCAAGCCTCTATCATATTACACCCGGACTAATGCCATATTAGTCCTTATTTACCCCCTCCATCTATCCTGTGTTTATTCATTTCCCTGTATGCCAACCCGTTTTATCTTATCTTTATCTTAAGACAGACCCAAGTCCCACCTCTCTATCATTTATCTTCCTAAATCATTGTTTTGCAAATGTCACTGCACGGCAAAAATCTTTGATGTCTGTTCGTTAAAGCCAAAGCTTTTTAACCTGAACTCTATGGCCCTTTCTCTTAACTTCATCTCCCTTCTTTTACTTTTTTTTTCCTTCTATGTTTTTATTGATTTCAGAGAGAGGAAGGGAGAGGGAGAGAGAGAGAAGCATCAATGATGAAAGTCATTGATAGACTGCCTCTTGCACACCCCCTCCTGGGGATTAAGCCTGAAATCCAGGCATGTGCGCCAACAGGGAATCAAACTGTGACCTCCTGGTTCATAGGTCGACGCTCAAACACTGAGCCACGCTGGCTGGGCTCTTTTTTAATTCTTAAAAAAACTTTTAAAAAATATATTTTTCAATTACAGTTAACATACAGTATTATATTAGTTTTTAAGTGTATAGCATAGTAATTAGACACTTATAAAACTCACCTTGATAAATCTAGTACCCATCTGACATCACACATAGTTATTATATTATTGACTATAGTTCCTATGCTTTACCTTACATCACCCTGCTCCTTTCTTCTTTTTTTTTGTGTGTGTGTGTGTTAATCCTCACTGGAAGATATTTTTTCCATTGCAGAGAGAGTGGAAGGGGGAGAGAGAGAGAGAGAGAAACATCAATGTGAGAGAGACACATCAATTGGTTGCCTCCCGAACCCACCCTGCAGGAATAGAGCCTGCAACCGAGGTTCGTGCCCTGGGGCCAGAATCAAGCCCCAGACTCTTCAGTTCACAGGCCATTGTGAACTGAGCCAAACTGGCTAGGGCAATGTATATAATTTGATTAACATTTTCATAAGTAGATACCTGTGGAACCATCATCAACAACCAAGATAACGCCTTCCATCGCTCCCCAAAGTTTCCATGTAATCCAATCCTTTGTAAGTTCATCCGTCCTTCAACCCCTGAACCCAGGCAATGACTGATCTGCTTTGTGTCATTAGGGATTAATTTGCACTTTCTCAAATTTTACCTAAATGGAGTCATACAGCATGTACTCTTTTTAAATTTTATTTATTCACTGATTGATTGGAGAGAGAAAAACATCAAAACATCATTTCACTGGTTGATTCTTTCATGTGCCCTGACCAGAATCGAACCACAACCTTGGCTTCTGGGGACAACACTCGAACCAATTAATCAACTGATCTACCCCGCCAGGGCCTAGGTACCATTTTTTCATCTAGCTTCTTTTACTCAGCATAAGGATTTGGAGATTCATCCATGTTGTCTGATGTATTAATAGTTATTTTCTTTTTACTGCTGAGTAGTAACTGATGGTATGGATGTATCACAATGTTTTTATTCATTTACCTATTGATGGGTTGCTCCCAGTTTTTCACTGTTACAAATAAACTTCTATAAACATTTGCGTACAGGCGTACAAATCTTTATTATATAGCTATTATTGGGAAGGTGGGAGGAGAGGAAGTGTAGAGGGTGGTATTATGAGAGAGTTAAATCCTTAGCCACCATAACGGCATTAATTAATACTGTTTTAAATGTTAAATAAAAAAATAGAGGAACCATGATGGGTGAAGCGCTGCTGGTGGTGGTGCAGATTTGGTAGAAGATATGAGTTTGCTCCCTTCCCCAGACCGCAGGAACCAGGCTTTCTGGACTCCTGGAGGCAGAGGAGGAAAATGAATTGTAGACGACTTAATGGAGGTTTCATGGAGGAATCTGTAGATGATGAGTATCAAGGGGACCAGTCAAACACAGAGGATGAGGTGGACTCTGGCTTTGACATTGACAAAGGATGGGGAAGCAGGAGAGCCAACAAGGAAGCACCAAAGCCTGTAAGGAGCCTCTCAAGAGCTGGACGCCTAGAAAGGTCAGCACCCCAGCTGGTAGCTCTCAGAAGGCATGAGAAGAGAAGGCATTGCTACCACTGGAACACAGGATGATGGCTCTGATGGTTGGAAATGCATGTGTCAATTTACAGCTGAACATACAAGACAAACATTCCTGCGGGTACAGGACAGGCAGGGCCTGTCACTGCCGGCAGGGAGAGGGCCCTGCTGGGAGTGGCCACTGACCCAGGAGAAGTTGCTCAGGGAGGGAGAGATCACAGAGGAGCTTAACTTACTTTTCACTGGAGATGTGAACGAGTCGGAGCTGACAAAAAGGTTCGCAAGAAGCTGAAGTGACCTGGGCCCATAATCACTTGTCATTCAGTGACAGGCAGCTGGTGGGGGAGCCAGGCACTAAAGAAGAGAATGTCCACGTGGAAGGACTTGATTCTGCTCCCACAGCGTCTGCATTGACTCCAGTGCCCCGACTGGACTTGTCTTCCCTCCTGCTTGCTGCTCACCTACCTTCACTTTTACTGATCATGCTACATTTGAGAAATGGTTTCCCCAAGGATGGCCCCTAAAAGTCCCTGTTTGGGAGGTCTGCCCAGTGACCCACCATCCAGTCCTATACAGACATACCTATTACACCACTATGTGAGCCTTCAAGACCATCCAGGAGGCCTATAAGAAGTGCATCACTCACTGCCCACGGACTGCCACCCATTGCCTCAGCCCTGGGCCCGGGCCGACCACCACCTCCGGAGCCCCTCCCTGGCTCTGGGCCTCAAGCCTTGTGCCATCAAATGAGGACTCCCCTCTCCCACTCCTCCACTCTTCCTCATTCTTCTCTTTGGGCAGTGTTCTGACACTAGGTGAGTTATTTAAAACAAAACAAAACACCCCAACAAAACCACAACAGTACATCAGAGAGGCAGGGAGGCTTAGTGCAATCTCCCTTCCTGAAAAACCTTATCCAGGGCTAATAATTTTCAAAGAAAAAGCAATTCCCACTAATGTCATCCGAGAAATGTGTCCCCTTTATGTTGTCAAGACAATAGCAAATACCATCAAGATGAACACAATTACGTCAATAGTTAATATCAGTTTGCATAACCCGGCCTCACGGGTGGCTTCTTGTTATTATTTGAGGTGTCCTTTTACCTGTCTTGTTTCAGCCCTTGCACACCATGCAGTTAAAACTATGCACTCAGACAAAATAAACTTTTTTTATGTAACCGCAACTTTAACGTAAAAAATGGTAAAGCTAAAAATAATCCATGAAAACAATGCAAATGAAGTATGACGATTATCGTCACTACAAACCAGTCAACTACTGGTACCCTGTGAGGGCAAGAAAACAGGCAAAAGCTGCCGAGTCGGTGACCTTGGGCTCCTAGCTGCTCCGCAGGACGAAATCCACAGGAAGAAATGCCTGCGTAGTTCAATCAAGGGTGAAAAGTCCAACGCCAGACCCCGAATGGACGTATCTCGAGGTAGGACGCTTGCCAAAATAACATTTCATTCCGTGTGGGAGGAATTGTAATCCATTGTTATTTCGTTTTCTGTATTTTTTCAAATTTCCACTTTTAAATAGAGGCCAGCCTGGGGGGCGTCCGAAGTCTAGGGTTTTAATTCGGTCACTAACGGACGTTAGTCAAATCAGAGAAACGGGGCGTGATGAGAGGTTTGAATCTCCGAAATCCCCGCTCATTTTAAATTCTCTGCTACGAGAATCCCGCCTCCTGCAGGTTCGCCAAAGACGTATTTTGTCCCTCTCGCTTCACCGTCCGCGCCTCCTCCAGAAACAATCCGAAGCTCCGCCCCCTGCGCTGCGGAGGGCGCGAAAACCCAATTGACAAGAAGTCGCTCGGAAGCCCGCGGCTTGGGTCTGCGTTCGGCTGGCTCTCCCCGCCGGGGTCCCAGCCCCCGCCGCTCCGCCTGAAGTGCCCGACGCCCCGGCGCCCGGCGCGCACCC